CACAAAGTTGCTACCAGGTGGAACTCTGTGCTCTGTGTGTTAACCTATATTCATTGTTTGCACTGGATAATGAACATTACATTATGTTTACACAAAGTTGCCACCAGGTGGAACTCTGTGCTCTGTGTTTCAACCTATATTCATTGTTTGCATTATGTTTACACAAAGTTGGCACCAGGTGGAACTCTGTGCTCTGTGTTTCAACCTATATTCATTGTTTGCATTATGTTTACACAAAGTTGCCACCAGGTGGAACTCTGTGCTCCGTGTTTCAACCTATATTCATGTGTTTTTGCACTGTCCTAGCAAAAGTTGCCTGTCATCCTGACAAGCTACCTTCGCCAGTGGTGCATAATACAAATACATACAAATATAGGTAACGTTACAAAATCATGATATTGGATTATTGGGCAATCCTTTACATAGTAACCATAAACATGTTTAATTTCATTGTACTGTGGTATGTTGTACATAAAACAATGCTACAAAATCATGATATTTGATTATTGGGCAATCCTTTACATAGTAACCATAAACATGTTTAGTTTCATTGTACTGTGGTCTGTTGTACATAAAACAATGTTACAAAATCGTGATATTTGATTATTGGGCAATATAAAGGATTGCCCAATAATCCAATATCACGATTTTGTAGCATTGTTTTATGTACAACATACCACGGTACAATGAAATTAAACATGTTTATGGTTACTATGTAAAGATAGTAACCATAAACACATTCTATTGAACTATGGTCTGTTGTATTAAATAAGAGACAGTTAAGGTTAAAATCTTGACATTAAAAAAACATGATTCAGGATTTTTTTGTAAGTTAAGATGAGACATCGCCCCTTTGAGAATGCATAATTTATGTGACATGTCACGCAGTAACAAGTTCTTGAACCGATTAAAACTGGATCAGTTTACTAGATTTCTTAGAAAATCTGTCTTTCTAAACCGGTATTTTTCTAGGAATCTGTAAAAAGCAAAACATACCATGTCATGCATATGAAAGTTCTTTTTTTTATTAATTTTTTATGTTAAAAGATCGGTTGGACATTGATAAGAACTTCCATATTCAAAAGCAGAAAAAGAGTAAATAAAAAAATCAACCTAATGATTTATTAAATAGATGACGGCATGTTTGACAAGATCGTTACGTCAATTTCATCTCGAATTCGAGACGTCATCGTGAATAAAAGATGTAGGTGCTAAAAATGTCGCCCATGGCGCCATGGTGATAAAAAAAACCGTGAAGGTGATAAAAAAATAAAATAAAGGGGGAATAGATAATATTACTTAAGTAAATAAGCTTTTATTGAGCAACGTATCGAATAAACGCTATTTATAAACCCTTGCTTAAGACTAGGTAATGCCACTTAAGATGAAAGCTTTGACTGGGAAACATTTCGAGTGAACGATGTTTATTAAGCCTCGTTTAAGCCTATTATTGCAACATCAATAAAATTGGAAATATGTATAATGTTTTAAAACGTCCTTTACTCACACAGTGATCCTATATTTATATATATAAATTTCAATAATATGGAACATTGATGCTATTGGTTTATTCTTGTGATTTATTTAGCAAGCTGCTTAAAATGCTAGAAAAAAAACCGGTATAACCCAGTGATTAGTGATAAATCGAATGATAGTTGTACTTCATATTTATTTTTCAGTAAAGTATGTTTCGGTGGGGAATTTGGGTTTAATCAAGGCTTAACCGAAACGTCGCTCAATAAACGTGTTTTTACTTTGGTGATATTATTTAGTTTTTTTAAAACGTGATAAATCCTCACCCAATCACACAGGTAATTAGGGCGCTCGACTCGCAATCTGAGGGTCGCGGGTTCGAATCCCCGTCACACCAAACATGCTCGCCATTTCAGCCGCGGGGCGTTATAATGTAACGGTCAATCCCACTATTCGTTGGTAAAAGAGTACACCAAGAGTTGGCGGTGGGTGATGACTAGCTGCCTTCCCTCTAATCTTACACGAGTAAATTAGGGACGGCTAGCGCAGATAGCCCTCGTGTAGCTTTGCGCGAAATTCAAACCAAACCCAAACTCTTTCCATTTCTGAGGGGGTTGAAGGGAATTATAGTTGCCTCTTTGGTAAAGTAAAATGATACACCAGAAAGTACTGAAATATTCCGCTTGAGATTCTCGGTATCAATCAGTTTCTTGTAGAACTGGAAAAGGTAACAGATGACAAGATAGAAACTTACTGGGCGTTTTCTCGGACGTACAGGACTGATAAGATCTCACTTGGTGGGCGGTGCGTAACG